CATCTCAGCATATCCTTGTGAGTATCAAGGTGCTAGATCACAAAGGAGTACCAGAAGCCATACAGAAGCTCTGTGGTGTGACAGGACAATATGCAAGGTTGTGTGGACCAGTGTGGGTAAATATTGAGCTCGTGGGCATAAAGGACAAACACAAAGTATACTTGGCTGACATTGAAGACCAATGCATACTAGGGTTTGACTACTTACTACCGAGGAAGTGTGTAGTTAATTTTGATAAAATGAAGTTTGGGAACAACAAAGGTCAAATTCGGGTAAGTGCTGCTGCATCTGTTGATTTGCATGTCACAGCACTTAAGTCAACTGCAATACCCCTATGTCAAAGAATATAATTTTGGATAGAATATAAGAACATTCCCAAGGAAGCCTGATGCTTGTGGAACCAGTGGACGACCCATCTAGGCCAGCGGACGTTAAGATTGGAAGGTCACTTGTGGCAGGTCGTCAAATAGTACCCATAACAGTGACTAATTTCTCTAAATGTGAGCAGACACTTAAGGAAGGGGCATTGTTGGGTGTGTGCCAGGAGGTCGAGCTAGTCAATGTTAAGGCAAGAAATACAACCATAAAGAAAGGACATCCTCTCCTAGAACATTTAACTGACCTCTATGAGAAGAGCATAGTCCATTTGTCATCATCACAGGTACTTCAGGTTAGAGAACTTTTGGTGGATTATGCAGACGTCTTTTCAAAAGGAGATCATGACTTCGGGTGCACAGACCTTGCGGAGAAGAATAAACGTAGGCAATCACCGTCCAAATAAGATCCGGCAAAGCAACAAGAGATAGAGATGGTCATGAATGGCCTAATTAAAGGAGGGATAGTCGAGAAATGAGATAATCCCTGGTCAGCTCCCATCGTGTTAGTACAGAAGAAGGATGGGACCCAACGTTGCTGTGTGAACTTCAGGGCTCTTTACAGTATAACTGAAAAGGACTCATACCCGCTGCCAAGAATTGATGATACTCTTGATGCCTTAAGTGGAGCCAAGTGGTTTTCAAGTCTAGATGGGTT